AGCTTTCTCACAACTCTTTCGATTTATGTACATCCATATTGTAATACTTTATATAACTTATAGAAAAAATGAGATTTGACATTCAAATTTTTCGAAATATTTTCAAAATAAAGTTTTCTTAAACCTCGTATGTTTGCCACCCATATTGCAATAGTGCATTTAGCTTATTAATAGATTTAAAATTTTTTGAAAAAGTGGAAATTTTCTTAAAAATATTTTGTTACCAAAACTTTTTTAAATCTTGTTCGTTTGACCTTTATGAAATAATAAAATAAAAAAAAATCGTTGAACTTATAATCTAACATAGAAATTAACTTTTTAAGCAGTTGGCAACGCATTGAAAATATTTTCTAAATAAAACGTCGAACCCCTTTCGTTTGCCACCTACATTATAATATTTAATTTAACTCTTAAACTCATTAATCTTAACTTTTGAAATAGGTGGAAACTCTGCCGCTTCATTGTGAAAGAGCAACAAACAAACTCACACACTCACTCGATGTGTATTTTCTATAAAAAATATTTCGATTTTCTACAAGAAACCATTCTTTTCAAAATTGCCGTGTTAAAATACTTTAGGCTCAGCGGTGTACGGCGAACTTTTTTTCTGGTACGGGCTAATGAATATACCTATGTATGTTTGTACATATGAATGTATGTATGTATTTTTTTTTTCAATGGCAAACAATGTTGGCCAACATGAACCAACTATGTAACAAGATCCCCTAATCAAAGAGGCAAGAAAAAGTCTATTTGTGAGCGTTTTTGACATCTGCCTAAGAATGAAAACAAACAACGAAAACGAAAAAGGCGCCGTGATTCGAGTGCGATTTTATACATACATAGGCATTTATTATAAAATTTAATAAGTGAAACTGAATTAAAATGAGCAAAAAGTTTTCATTAAATATAGTTTTCGTGATAGAAAGTGTTTCACAACCGCATGGCATCAGCACAGCTCGATTTTTCAATGTCAACGTTCTCACCACAAAAATGCACCCAGTTTTCACGCAAATTTACCCCTCTCGACAAGAGGTAGAAGACAATATAAACAAAAACGAAAAATATCAAAATCGCTACGAAAACTTTTTTTCTGAAAATCGATTACAAATACAGCGATGGCTGATTAGGTGATTTGTAGTCGTTGGTTCATGAATTGCAAATGTACAAACCTTATTGATAAAGAACAGCCAAGATAAAATACATACAAGCAAAATAAACAAATATGCTGAGAAGGCAATAAAGAGTACGCGTAAAAGAGAAGTATGCATATAATAAATGGCAAACAAATTTGCACACCTAGGCAACGCCTTGAAATTCCCACGCGATCGCATAAAGTCCAACGTGGTTCTCTTGCTGATCGAAAGCGCATGATCGGTCTCATTGATATATACTCGTATATTAACTTTGATTATATGTAGTTGTATATGTCACATAAA